TATATATATTGTTGGGAGAAACATAGAACATTTAAGTCTTGGGCTCACATAAAAATCTATATCAGCGACCCGAAAAAAAACAGTCTCAGCTCATCATGAACTTCGAAAAAGTTCACTTCAAAGTAAAAACGGACACGTTTGCTCCAGAGTTAAGTTGAATTTATTCGATGTTTTCGAAATTCGGAACAATTTCTAAACCGAATGCTGATTCTAAATGATTGGCTGCTGTGTCCAAAGAAATAATATTATTGTCAACTATCCTCGCGGACTGCCTATAGAGTTCTGAGATAATATTTTACTACTGTGCTGTTAACTAAAATCAGCCTCTCTGTCCACCGAGTCCCCGCCAACTTTACCGTTCTCCTCTCCCCCAATGTAAGACCGCTACGCGCTGTTTCTACTACCGTTCCCCGCGCACTCGGCACATCTGGATGCTTCCGCTCCGAGGGGGAGGTGCCCTTTTGACAGGAGGGCGGGGCCAAGACGGGCAGCAGAGTTTGTCTGGAACTCACAGTAGCAATATAGAAAGACGAAGATATCTCAATAACTAAAAATGAGAGGTAAATGGGGGGAGAGGAGGAAGGGTACGGGGCGGGGTTAAGTTGGAAAGACGACCATGTGAAGAGGGGTACCTGCTGATAACCTACTATCAATAGTGGGAGGTGACCGTGCGAGCGTTGTAAGAAACTGTACTGGTTTGCAGTTAGAGGAGGATATCTCGCGATGATTGACAAGCGAAATTTCTCCCGTGAAATCTGTCACTTGTAGATGTATCTTCTTCCCCTAGGACCAGATGGATAGCGGGTGGTTTGGTTGATGTCGAGCACTATCGTAGGACTTAGTCCGCATACAAGTTCCCCAGAGCTCCGTTATACAGAGATGTATTCTTTGCGGGACCCGTTACTTGCACAATTATAGTTCGCGTCCATTCGTTTCTTACTACACTGAAAACATTCATCCCTCGATTTTGTCACAAACGACTCAGTTAGCTTATAAAGTAACAACTCACTCTGTGGCAACACATTGAAGGCAGACCAACGTTCATGCAGTACGTCTTACTAAGAGAAAGTGCGCAGGACACCAGCCCGGGGACACAGCCCCGATACAATTAATGACCAAGATGTTGTTGCTAAGACGATGATGAGCAACCAGAAGATCTTTTGGATCTAGGAATTACTCATCGAACTTCTACAAGCCATCAAGGGATCCCAGTCGGTAAGCATAATTATGTAGGTCTGTTTTGAACTGTCGTCGAGATTGCTTGTTTTTCCCCCTCAGAAAGCACTGAAGAAAGCTTTTTAAGATACATGTATTGGAATTATGCCGTATATCAGGGTCTGATTGTTTTTTTCCACAGAATATGCCACAGAAAACTTACACCACAAAGGTATTGAAATCATGAAGTAAAGTTGTTCTCTTTTGAGTGTTCAAGTGATGTATCACATTTAAAACTAAATGAAGGCTATGATGAATTTGTATCCAACTGCCGCAGACTGTTCATAAAATTCATGTATCGCGGCATTCAATCAACTCTTCTTTTATTTCGGCACTTCTTTCAATTGACTGTTCACAAAATTCGAGATTTTTAAATATTGGAGCTTGGTATAAAAAAATGTCCTTTTCGAACACAGCCACATTTCTTTGTCTATTTCTTCTATTTATTCATCAAATGATACGTCTTGCTAAAAAAAACCCACCTCAAAACAAAACAAAAATGCGAAAAAACGAACAAAGCAAAACATAACAAAACAAAATATCAACAATAACAATAACAACAACAAACAAACCGCAGTCATAACGATCATGTTCACTTTATGTTTACCAATTTGACAAGATCTACATCAAGTGTTTTTTTAATGAATAGGGCCAACATTTTTAGTCATTTTGTCATGTTTCATGTTCCATGTAAAGAGTAGGCAATCAGGAGTAAGATATCTCGGTTCCTCGAAAAAAAAGCATTACCAAAACTGAAGAGTGTTTAAAACGCTTTAAACATTTCCTTTGGTTTAAACGTTAAACATAAAACTGCTTTTTGTTGCAATGCCATCTGGTGGTCTACTTATCAATCAAGCTGGTCTTTTAATCACGAGTTAATTTTAATATAGATATGAACAATAATTCAACGTCTTTAAAAATCCACGTTTAACAGAAAGTAAACGATTAGTAGATTCTTAAAAAGAAACAAATAACAACAAACATACAAACAAACCCCCCCCCAAAAAAAAAAAAAAAAAAAAAAAAAAATGCAGAGACATAGGTAAAATTGTATTCTCAGTGTGGATTATTTTGATCAAAGTATATTAACAAAAAATAAAATGAAAAACAGAAACAGTACACTTGATATTTTTTACATTTTCTAAACATATTCTAAATCAGCACTAATGAATGACTCATGAAAGGAAAATGTGTACCGTTTTGGAACAATACCGGGTTCTAAATGTTCTAATGTCTCCATTCTCTTTTCTGTATAAAGTCAGTCAGAATTCCTTCCCCTGGAAAATTCTGGGCTTGTTTTGTTTTTTGTTTCCGTTTTGTTGTTGCAGTTTTTATTTTTTAAATTCTGTCGTGCTGTCTGATGTGCTGTCTTTTAGCTCGTCGGACTGAGGGAAAAGCTGGACAAGATTAAATAGTTCAGTTTGGATTTTTTGAAAAAAGAATGTTTTTTCTAACTTGAAATATTCTCTTAATGTTTTGGAAATAGAAACGTGTTATAGCCCATCCCCACCCCTACCCCCCCCCCCCCCCAAAAAAAAGACAACAACTAAAAAAAAAAAAAACAGCCTTTAGATTATTACAAACAAAAATGATTATTTATTTTTGCTTTTTTGTTTTTGATTTATTTTGTTTTTGTGTATTTGTTTTATTATTATTTAAAAATGTTATGTTTATGTGACTCTGTATTTGTTTGTTTTGTTTTGTTTTCTGAAGGCCTTGGTTATGCTGTTTTAATACCTGTATAATTAAGTTAATAAAGAATGGTCGCTTTTGACCATTCCCGCCCCAAATTAGTCGTCCTCCTCATTCTTAACTTCTTCTTCCTCCTCTTTGTTCTTCTCTACCTCCTCCTCTACCTCATTCTTCACTTTTTCTTTCTAATCTTCGTTCTCCTCCTCCTCATTCTCCCCATCCTCATTCTTCACCTCTTCATCTCTTCTTTGTTCTCCTCCTCCTCTTCCTCCTCCTCCTCTTCCTCCTCCTCCTCCTCCTCCTCCTCCTCCTCCTCCTCCTCCTCCTCCTCCTCCTCCTCCTTTTCTTCTTTCTCCTCCTCTTCATTCTTCACCACTTCATCCTCCTTGTTCTCCTCCTCCTTGTTCTCCTCCTTCTCTTCCTCCTCCTCCTCCTCCTCCTCCTCCTCCTCCTCCTCCTCCTCCTCCTCATCCTCCTCATCATCATCATCATCCTCCTCCTCCTCATCATCATCATCATCATCATCATTATCATGAATACGATCAACATTAGAATATCCAAAGCAGCGTTTTCTCCACTCTTTTCTCAGAGTTAGTGTAAAATATTTTGAAACATGGACAAATAGCAGATTGTTTCATCGTTTATAGGAATTGTTCCCGTCAATCCTAATTTTGACATTTAACTCCATTGATTTCTAGTAAAGGTGTTAAAACACGTTTCTGGGAAATATAACTGATGACTAAAATAAATGAAGTAGAGATAAGAGAATGGATGATATTAACTCTAAGCTACTTGATAAAACAGATGAATACAAGTTACTTTTCTATCTATCTGTCCATCTTCTTTTCTATCTATCTGTCTATCTGTTTATTAATCTATCCATCTATCTATTTATTTATCTATCTATCTATCTATCTATCTATCTATCTATCTATCTATCTATCTATCTATATGTCTATCTATCAAACTCTATTTCTCTATTTATTTGTCTGTCTGTCTGTCTGTCTGTCTGTCTGTCTGTCTGTCTGTCTGTAAATCCATCAACCAATGTACAAATAAATGAAGGAATAAAACAAAATAAAAGATATCTGACCACAATAGTCAGGTCTATTTTCTTTCATATATTTAGTTATTTGAATACTGTTACTAGTATTTTTACAAAACTTTATTAGGATATTATCTGAACATTTTCCGAGGCGAGGGAATATGAAAGCCATTCTTAGCTTTCACTTTCAAAAGTTTAGGTAGATCTAATTGAAGTATTTTCCCCGTCGTCCATGTTTCTTTGGAATTGTTGTGTGCAGGGCGTCCAGTTGTCCGTTTGAAGATCATGATTGATCCGTTTCAGTTAAAGGGTTGAAGTCTACTTTCATAATTATATCAAATTTCCTTGTCATCAAAAGCAAAAAAAAAAAAATAATAATAAAATAATTTTATTAATAATTTTTTTAAAAACGTATAAGTTAGAAAACCAGAAAAAAACAAGTCTCTTGAAACTTTTTGAAGGACAAAGTAAAAACAACAAAATTCAATATTATGCCAAAATGTAACCACTGAACAAACTAGAAAAAAGACCAGTAAATTTTCAGAGAACAAAAAAAAAAAGAATTAGTAGTAAAATAAACAAACAAAACCAAAAAACAAAGAAAAACAAAACAAAACAAAGGGAACAACGACAAAAAGCAAACGAACATAACTCCCCACAATGAGTCAAAAATAACAAACAAAGATACTTTCCAGTACATTTTGTCAGTTCTGTTCTCGTGTACGAATCTGAAATTCCACTAAAAGAACATGCGAGTTCGTGTATGATGATGATGATGATGATGATGATGATAATGATGATTATGAAAGTGTATTCATTTATAAGGAAGAAGACTGGAAATCTGTTTTTAATTCATTGAACGTTTTCTATCTAGCTGTCTTACCTATTGAAGAAGGTTGTTATTAAGAAGATTCCATATAATATTATTATAATTGTTGTTGTTCCATTTTCTTTTTCAGAGTTTTTAATTAATCAACGATTTTAAATAGTTGTTATGTCATATAATTATATTTAATTCATTTTGCTTATTTAATTTCACAGTTTACATAAATGTTTTTTTCAACATATTTATTTTTTGTTATAGCACCGAGGTGGAACTAACAGTTTATATATATATATTTTTTTTATTTTTTATTAACCATATCTATTTTGTTCCTTGTAGCATTAAGGGGGAAGTAAGAGGAAAACATAGTTTTGATTTTAAATAAAATATCGCCGGACTATAAAACAAAGTTGTTGGGTTTTGTTTTGTTTTTTTGTTTTTTTTGGGGGGAGGGGGGGATAGCAGTGTTCTGTGAGTGCTTTGATGAAAGAAAAAAAACAAACAAAAGGGGTTGGGGAGGGGGATCTATTGCATTAATGGAAGCCTTTTTTGTGAGTGTACTTTACATTTTAGGAGATCATAATATTAATATTCTGTCCGAAAAAAATAACAGACACTCACATGGGCGTACACTTCTTCATATACTTTACAACTGCCCCTCGTCCCCTTCA